ACAGATTTTTTCATTACCTTATTTTGTTGTAAGCGTATAAGTAAAATAAAAATTCAATTTTAAAAACCTTCACTTAGTTGTTCCTAATCGGATGAAAATTTAAGAATATTTTATCTGATTGGAAATTTTTTAACGATACTGAAGCTCCTTCATTACAAGTTTTCATATATAAGCGTGTTTTACTCATTTTTCATCCTGCTCAAAAAGTGACGCCCTTTTATTTGAAAACTTGAGATGAAGGAGCTTCATTGTCGTTTAAAATTTCCAATCGGAAAAAATTGACTTTAAATTTTTAGTTCATTATATGAACTTTTAAATAAAAGCTTCTTTTTAAAAATGCATTTTTATTTATTATCTACTTTCAGTATTTGTGATGTCAAATAACTAGTTTTGTAATTTTTATATAACTTTCATGTATTTTACTAATATGACCCTACAAATCATCTTACTTTATTTATATTATAAAAATTCGGTAGATACAGTCACATAATGATAAATCGATATTTTGCGGAGATCGCCATATGGAATTTAGAATGACGTTATTTGCTTATCGTCTTTCTCTCATTAAGTCCTTTTATTTAAAACCCATCTCACAGCGGTAACCCGGAAATTATAAATTGCCATTCAGTGTCGGGCGGTGGTCGGCGCCATATTGAATCTAGAATGACGTAACTTTGTCACTTTGCTTATTGTGTTTTCTTCATCAAGCCTTTTCGTTTGATACAGTATAGCAGTGGCTATGGACATTATAAATCGCCATTTTGCAGTTGTCGCCATATTGGACACAGAATTACGTCACTTTGCTCATTGTGTCTCCCCTCATCAAGCCCTTTTATTTGATGCCCATGTCATAGAGGTCACGATGAAATATTTAAGTCGCCATTCTACGGTTGCCGCCATATTTGGATTTAAGATGACGTGACTTTGCTTATTGTGTTTCTTCAATCATGCCCTTTTTATCTGATCCATATCATAAGGGTTACTATGTAAATGATAAATCGCCAAGTTTGTAGCATTCGCCAGATTGGATTCAAAATGGCGGCATTTAATTATTTTGCATTATTACGCAAACCAACCGTGTGTACAAAATTGCCATTCAATTGGTTACGATGATCAAAATTCAGTTCCAAGATTGGACCCACACATACATACTAACATACAAACAGGTCAAGTTGACTAGAAGCTTGTAAAAAGGAGCTCATTTCAGGGCATCATGACAATTGACAGTGTCGCACACTCTATATGCAGCTATTCAGAGTGCTGGCTCGATCCCGCAGATGTGTTAGAGGGAAAACTCGTAAAAAGACCTTTTCACCGACGAAAGATCCTGCGATCAAGGCTTCCTGGAGGCGCAGGAAAATGGTACCACTGAATACTCCAAAGAATCAATATTGCTCCGCAACTAATAAATAGTCCCCAGAAGTACATCTCGTTGTGACGAATAACCGGCTTTAGCGAGAGGTCATAGGTTTTGGTTTGCTTATGTGAGACATCAAATTATTCTTTTAGCGTCAGAAAATACTTTTTTCAATACATCATCATCACTATGTACAAAAACCAGACATGACTTTACGTGGAATACTGATTACACAGTTCATATTTGATGCATTTACTTAGTAGTTATAGCAAACCTCCTTCATAATATTGCTGCACTTTTAATTTCAACTCAGTTGAGTTTTATGCATACATCAAAAACTCCTCAGTTCGATTCACTGACCTTAGCCAGTTCGAAATAATCACAGAACCACATGCAAAGATTCACTTGGGAAACCACGAGAACGCAGATTACTTATGAGAGAAGAGACCGAGGAATATCGAATGGATCTACTTGACATCTATATTTTCTTTCTTGCTGGCCAGCAACTGGCAATGTATGGTGCATAACCGAGAACCGACCGGTCGCGCGGCGTTCTTTACGTCCCGTCAGCCGCACTAGAGAAAGGCTTTCGCTTTGCATCTGAGCGCCTCGACGCCAAGCATCCACTTGCATAACACAGGCGACGCCACCACAGCGTCTTGCATAACGCCACAGAATACGTACTAAAGAGAAGAAGCATCACTTTGTCGTGAAACAGTTTATCGAGAGGTGTATGAATTAGAAATGATACCTGCGGTATCCGAAACGCCACCTGTCGTTTGCCTGCGGTGTCCGAACTATAGCAGGTAGCTAAGCAAGTAAAAATCTATGCATTTAAGGGTAGCCGACCGCCGGTCATGGTCTGAAGTGATAAATGATGACTAAATAATGCTGCGTAAGTGGCTGCACAACAAAAGCAGCAATGGATGTAATGATATTTCGATATATTCTTACGCCGCGAGGCAAGTATTGTTACCCCAGGTACCTTTGTTTAAAATGGTTGAATGAAGTGAGCGACAAAATATATTTAATATCTCAAACGTCTGTGGCTGATTCCTTGATCAATCTCCATCAAGCCGTGATTCAAAAAGTACTGGATGAAAATTGAATAAAAAAAGACTTATTCCAGCTTTTATGATTGTTCTTTTTGTATTTGTGACCCATCACAAAATATACATTTATGTATACTGCGGTACTTAGGTAAAATACCGTGAACTTTTACTGCCTTTTTTAAATTCAGATGCCAATACATTTCTTTTATTATTACAGTTACAAAGTATATCATTAATCACGTTATTTAACAAAATATATATTTTGGCACATTGTTAAATATTTCATATTAAATACATTTCCTAAGCATAAAAGCAGTGGATCAATTTATCAAAATAAAAAAAGCAGTAGTTTTCAAACTAGACTGCTCTTATACTGTGAATGATGCAAATACTGTATTTTTATCTTTTATAACATATGAGACTAATTTAGTTTTTTTATGTAATAATTCTATTATTTGGGAATGAGTATTGATCGTTATGAATAATTAATTATGCCCCGAGAGGATAATTTTGAAAAATATTCTCCGCTCAACTTAACATAAAAGAAATCATGCTGTTTTCAGTTTATTTGTATAATTATTTTTGTTGAATGTAACTTCTAAATGTATTTATATAATTAATAAGATAAATTATTAGATGTTGAAAAGATTTACTCTTGTGTTATTTATGTGAAGTTCAGTATGAATAAATTATATTAAAATGAAATAAAATTCTGCGTTACTGCGTTTTCCGTTGAAAGAAATTTACAAATATATTATGAAAACATCGAAGAATTGTAGTAAATTTGTTTTTTCAGATTATAAAAGCTGTAAATAACATGTTACTGCTTTTTGATTTACAATTAACGACGGAATGTGATTTATTTTAGGCCTCGACAAAAATTATGATCCGAAGCACATTTAAATTTATCTCTATAAAGTCGTATAAATTTACAATATTATTTATATGGGTCGTAATAATACTATTTATTAAGTTCGAAAAAAACTAGAATTATAAACTCAATTGTCTCAGTCTTTTTTCCCTAAATACGACAGTACAGCTCTCGATACCTTGTCTTAATGACTATTAAAGCTTTCAAAAAGAAAAAACAATTCAATTCAAGGCTACCAGTTTCGACTTTGAAAAAATCATTCACAAACATTGCAAACATAATATCTCCATGAACGTCGGGCCCATTTGTATAGCAAGACGATAAACACATATAACGACGACATGCAAGAAAATTGGCAAATTCGGCCACTATTAGTTAGACGTCGCCAATGAGTGACGTAGAGGATATTTTAGCGCAAAAAGCTATTTTCTAAGCCACACTATTTTTCTGAAAATGGTATTTCTGATCTATTGTACCATTACAAATATTTTTGGACGACCTGTTCTGTAAATGATATTTGCGTGCGCCAAAGCACTACCGCACTACCTCGTAGGAAGCAACAAAAAGTGAGTTGGGATAAAGCAACCCTTCTGCACGACGTAGGCCTATGAAAAGGGCCGCTTAATAAAACCGGACATGCAAAGTTTTCCGCCAATGACGTTTCCACTCTTTGGTCCGATTTCTTTGGTAACCCCAACTTGTCGGTCGAAGGAATCTGAGTTGGCCGCGATCGCCGTTCTTCATTTGTTTGCTGTCCGCCGAGTCTCGCTGATCAGCCTCTGCCGCGCCGCGACACCGGTTAACGCGGTTTCCTCGTGCTGTATGTTGGACTAGGTCAGTAACTGTGCTTTCATGTATGGGATTGAGGTTTATAGCGGGATATGTGCCTGGGCATGGTTCAGAGTGGTGTATATGGTTTTTACTGTGTGCCTTGAAAGGTTTTTTTGTAGGACCTTGAAGTCAGTTGGATCAGCATATGTGGTAAAACTCAGAGCCAGAAGATCCAATAGGCATTTTATTAAGGATCTATAGTCATGTCAAATTCCAAGATTTTCAAAACACTAAACGTTTTTCTGATCGCGCCCAAAAATAGTCAGGGACGTATGAGAGCTTAACACTTAAAAAATGGCACCCATTCAAATGCGTGAAACAAAGTTTATAGAGGATTTAGTATTTGTCCTTTATGTTAATAACAGAACCGTCAATGCATCAACTTTTGAAAAAAAAATAATTTCATGATTATCAAAATTACAACATCAGTTACTAAGATTACGCGGTTACAACTGAGCAATGGAGAGACCTACAGATATATCGATAGATAGACTGACGGAAGTAAGACAACCTATTGCTCCTAATTCGAAATACTTCACTATTTTCGCATGTTTGATAAAGGATGAAGGTTAGTTGAATAATGATTTCACACAAGGGAAGATTCAAAATACGAAAGCAAACATATTTCTGTATTGTGCTATAATCCAGTAAGTATAGTATATACTAAAAATGCTGAAAAGGAGATATATGGTCATACTACACTACATTATATTTCGGATCCAGGTAGTAATGAATCGCTATTTTCTCAATTCAAAATAATCATAAAGGGAGTACGACTTTAGTTATTTCAGTATTTTTAAATTTCAACAAGTGAAGAAGAAGAAAACATTGGAACTAAGCTTTACTAAATGAGTGAGTAGACAGAAAAGTTGCTCAGAGCTAGCTGACGTGCTGCACAACTGAACGTGCTAAACATTTTTTATTATAAAACATTAAGTGTTAATTATGTTTTATTTGTGTTCGGGCGAACATTTGCTTCCTTTTCTTTGCTACATTCGTGGGATTGACATTAAATACTACTGTTGACCAACCAAAAACTGTCAAGAATAAATTTAAATTTGTTATGTGATAATTCTACTTCTTCTTGGTGGTCACGCTTCTCTATGTTTTCCAAGTGGAATATTCGCTCCACACTGAAGTTTGTCCAGCCTCTGAGGAACGTCTTCAGCCAAGATTCTTTCTTTTCACTCATGTCGTTTCTTTCCTCTAGCGTGTCTTCAGTAATCCAAGACATTTTAGGTTCACGCCTGAAACGTCACATTTCGATTGCCTCTAGCTTTTTATATATTATATATGTTCCAAGAATCTTAATCTGCTGGAAAAACATATAGGTTTGACCTATTAAATTACTCTGATAGCTTGATGAACAAATATAGTCATTGCTTTTCTCCAAAACACTACGTGCAGAACTTTATGGTTATGCCGGTTATGCCTGAGTAATAACTACGTTTAAAGGAAATGTTCTGTTACTAATTTGATTGCCATACCAGATTGATATTATTGATGCACGAGTACATCGTTAAAAAGTTAAAGCTGCCATCATGGTGCATATTTAATTGTCGACCAATTTAAATGCTTTATTATCAATTCATGCGTTGCTCTGACTACCAACTATATCGGAGAAATATAGATTATATATTCAACCTGATCCTGCATAAAGAACTAACTTATCCAACCGACAATCCTTATATCAAAGCTAAAGTCGAAGACGTCAGACAAATTTATTTCTACAGTGTATTATAATCATGATGGTATAAATCACATATATCAAACAAAGTTTAAAGAAAATTCCGTATATGTTCCAACATCAACAAAAACTATTGGTCAAACATGTCTTGTTTTATACGTCCACAATTTTTTAATTCACATGATCTCCATATGCATGTACTATATTCGTAAAACAGCATTCATTATAATTGCCTGAATAAGTTTTTTTTGACAAACGGCAAAGCTTTACTAAACTAAAAACTAATCACAAGAATATTATTTGCTTTTATCCCAAATCAAACTCGTACTCGAGTAAGTGAGGGAAATAAAACAGCTTGGAAAAAATAAATGAGGAAATAAATCTAAATCGCGAGAAATTAAGAATTATGGAGAACTGAACAGGAAATAAATAGCTTATTACTCATGTAAATACGTATATCTTTCAGTTTCCCAATATTTTAAATACAACTTCTATCAGGTGCACCAATTTAAATTAAATTCAAATTATAACTCCAAAAGAATCTGCAAAACAGCGTACATAGCTATTTATAAATCATTATAATTGGAGCAAATTATTTTCCTATGAAGGAATGTTGTAGGATCGTTGCTCCATAACATTATAGAAATGCATGTTTAAGGTCAATTAATGAACGACGAAGTAGGTGTGTTGACTAGAAAGCAAAACAGTAACTAGCATTATTGTATTTTCACGTGTTTCCTTGATCTCTGTCTTTCATATAGAAATATTAGAGACAGTTTTGAACAAACCATATACTAAATTTTTTATATATCAGATTCTATGACTTGCGATGGTAAGTTTGTAGATGATAGGTTATCGAATGTTTTTATCTTGTAGAATCATCAAGCAACACCAATATTAAAGTGACGTTCTAGTACCTATCAAAATTGAAACAAGACAAGGTTAAGCGATAATTCAAAAACATACATTTTTTTAACGGTAAACTTATTGTTTGTACATTCTGATGTTTTGACATTAGTTTCAAACGTTTTTAATTGCTGTTTTGTGAGGAAGTAGTGTCATCGCGCGAAAATTAGACATTGCTTTCACATGACATGTTTATCACAAAAAACTATGTACGCATTTATTATATTGTTGCTTTCAGTCAATCAACGTTATGCTAAACAAAATAATTCTTTCACTCTACCATATTCATCTTCAGACATGTTCATAGTATTGTAACGTTACATAATACCGATTTTAGTCTGTGTAGACAAAAAGTGTGATGTGTTTTGGATAATATTTATTTATTATATCTATAGTGGCGTCATAAAGATTCGAAAATCCACCGTTTGCTGCACTGATTTTCACCGGAATGAGTTCTACAGGATGTTGTATATATCCCAGGTACAAATTTTCTGTTTCTGGATATCTGGAAATACGAGGAAAACAGCGCCTTGATTAAGACCGCTCCATTTTTTTGCACCGGTATGAAACTCATCATGGAGGAACAATTGACTAATACCTTATTTATTTTCTTTTATTCGGAGTGATTTTGTAATCTTTTAGCATTTCTTATTATCATTACTGCTGTGTTGAGATGAAACCCAAGCCCCTATATTTGGTTGAGATACCTACCTTTTCCAGCCCATTCCCCAGAAAACATAAAAACACGAAGAAAACAGTACTTGTATCACATCCGCGTCACGTTGTTGTGGGGAAATAGAACACTGCATGGGAAAAGTAATGGCCAATACCTTACTCTTAAGATGTGGTTCCCAAATGATACCTCTTGAGGATTGTGGCTACGGGAAGTTACATATCTCGCGGTGCAAAATTCGTTTTTTGGCGAATTTTTCACTGCGAGATATGCAACCACCCGTAGCTAGGACCCTCAATTAATGCCCGCAGGGCATCACTATTTAAAAGTAGCTCCATTCCAAGGTTCATTCCGGTGCAGCGGCAGCAATAGAAGCAGTGAGGGCATTCCATGTTCTTTACGTATTTCCAGATATCCTGGAAAATGACCCGGGAATGGCAGGCTACCTGTTCAAATACTATTTGCCGGGTTTTGACTGTTTACTTCTGTTAGATATACAACCCTTAGTTGCCAGGTTCCTCCTATAGTGCCACTAGAGCACCACTTACTTACGTATTCTGCCACTGACACAAACTGCAGGGTTCGAATCCCTCAACCTCTGAACTAAAACCGTGCAAAATATCTTCTTCAATTTATCTGAATACAGAACAAAATCGCGATTTTGCCCCTATGAGATATACAAACCCCCGTAGTCAGGATCCTCATGTGGTACTACTTGGACACCACTTTTCAAAAGCGAGTAGTACCTCATCCATGACGAATTTCATTTCGGTACAACAAAGTGGAGCGGTTGTAATAGAGGTATGTTCTTATTTTCTTCGAATTTCCAGATATCCTGGAAAATGTCCCCGATAAAATGGGCAATATATTCAAAGGCTTTTGATTCAACACGTGGATAGTATCAGAAACACACTACAGTTACAGTGTGACAGACAAACTGCTAGAAGCGACTGAATACCTCAAAACTTATAAAACCACGAATTTGCACCTTGCGAGATATACAACAGCTTGTAGATCGGTGCCTGCTCCAGTGCCACTTGAGCACCATTACTTAAATGTAAGGTATGAGTACCCGCTCAATGCCAGGTTCTATTCCGTTAAAAAAAGCCAGGCCCCTTAACCACCGCACTATTCAGCGTTTTAACACTTTATAGTTAGCTACAGCTTATTATCTCCAGGCAAGCAACTGGTAAAGTTATAATAGATTTTATTTTAAGTGTTTGTTAACTCTGGCGCAGAAGTAACAAAGTATAAAAAATAGTGTCAAGCACCTAGCTGGGTGATCAGCTAATTATTTGATTTCTCATGCCGAATGGCGAGGATGTATTGCAATTGCGAAACTCAATTATGTTACATGACATGTAGGTACATCACTAAAAACTGCACGGAAAGTGTGCTACCATGCCAAGGTCGAAAAAGCTATGCAAAACAGAAAATTTCAGACGTGCCCGAGCTCCTTTTTCTGGTAATTTTGGGCGTAGATAAAACGTTTTTGGAAGAGAGGTTTAAAAAATCACAAGTGTGGTTTTTCGACATCTGTTAACTTATTAGCCACTGACATAGTGAGTGCTATTTCCTAGAATGGAAAAAAATGATATTGGATATTTTAAATAAGCACTGAAATATTGGCACAACCAATTTGGCTCCCTCTTTTCGCAGTAGCCACAATGTAGAATCAAGAGGCACTGATAGTGAAACAATTACATATAGAAAAATGGCGTCAAGTAGATTGACTATACTTTTCATGCCTTCGAAACAACGAGTACAGTTTTCCAAGTAGAAAGACGTAGTTTCTATGAGATCTATGAGTGCAATATTTGGGCTTTTCATGAAAGAGCTACACAATATTATTACACGAAATCAAGTAACTTCATAAAATTACACTTCAGGCATAATGCGTGCCAAACACGTATGTGCATATCTTATCGCCAGCTACCTGTTTCTTCTCGCGAAGAAACTATCAACCCTGTCATAACTTGAGATCGAGAGGGCTAGCAACGCAGTCATACGCAGACAGGGTTTGCTGCACGAAGGAAGAAGACCCGCCACCGAGACATTGTTCGCGTCTGTAAATATTTCTCCAAGTTTTATGCCTAATAGCTGCGTAGAATTTCTGGGTTGGAAGTGTATGGGTATACTAACATAAAAAAATTAGGATATATCCTTCGCCACCTACAATCCCCAGTCCTTGATTTGTTACCCGTAATTTTGTTTCAACAATGGCCGTGAGCCTCTAAAGCGTCAAAAAACGAAGTCTGAGCGATTTTCAAAAACTACAAAGCTCTTTTGTCCGTGACGTAGTAGTAATCTGGTGTGAGAATTCCATTCAAATCCGATCAATACTTTACAAGTTACCGACGGGCCAAGGATTAGCGGCCAGACAGACAGACCGACGAAAATGAGTGACTTTTTTTACGTTTTCATAATAACATCCAAAAAAAAAACATATCTCATTTATACAGTTTTTCGCGATTATAATACTTCATCGCCAGAAATCAAGTGAACCTAGCACAATCGCAATTTCTTAGTTTTTGGTTTGAAAGCATTGAAACATATAGAAAAAGTACATTTTTAAAAATAGAATAACAATTTTTTGACAACATACACATACCCACGTGCGAAAAATATAACTCGCCTCCTGAGGCAGTCGGGCAAAAACATAATGCTCAAATGTCGGTCTTTGAGATCGAAATGTATGAGATAATTGACTAAACATTCTTGAGTCAGATACAAAATTTCAGAGAAAGAGCTTCGTGTTGGCCATACCTGTTCCTTGAATAGCAATCAATTTTAGTTGTTCCTAGTGTGAAACAAAATTCCATTTAATTATATTGAAATTATACAGCAATTACGAAAATCGCTGGTTGCAGCTTGTGTTACTTATAATGAACTTTTCACTCAATGTTAATGATCCGTATAATAACAGTAATTTATTCACAAGCCGTCAAAAATATCTAGACTGAAAATTGCATATGAAATTTAAGAATAAGCTGAAATCATAGCAAAATAATAAATTACGTCAAGCATTGACCTTGCCCATGAACCTCAACACATTCATCGCTGAAGTTATTTGCTACGAGATTGATTATTTAACTAACTCCTGAATATTGAGTTTCCACTACTAATTCGCCATTTTTTAAACCATATGAAGTGGTCAGGATTTCTTTATAATGATGAATCAAAAATTAGTGTCACTTAGAGAGATTCCCACCTTCTCCTTCTTCAAACTCGATAAATATGCTTCTAGTTCAATCGTACTTAAAATCCAAAATTCAAAATGTCCCCTTGACGGGTATCGCGCACCTCTAACTCTTGGCAACCACAAATTAATGTCTTTTGTAAACAGTATGATGAACTATTTATACAATAGGTACTATAGGTACATACATTTCTCACTATAGTGACGGATTTTCATCCGCCATTTTCATAAACGCTTTTAGTCAATTATCTTGTAAACTATCAATCCTACATGAAAAAAGTATTGAATCCATTTTACCGAATTAAATTCTTTATCATTTTGCTCTTATACAATTTTACCGTACGGATAACAGTCTGCGCAATATTACATTTTTAGTTACATTTCGGCTTATAACGGCTAAAGTAATATTCAAAAATTATTCAAAAATCGTAGAGGATCTTTCTACTTTTTACATAGAATAAAATTTGCTACAAAGAAGGCCACTTACATTTTTTTGGCTGGATGATGGTTTATCAAGGATAAGGAGTGAAAGTTAAAAATTCGTATGATAACATTCCGGCGCCTTGCTTCGCACGCTACATACATTGTCCACGTGTCACCATACAACATTTCACTTGGGGATAACACAATAACCATTTTTTAAGATGAAGAAAATCAGTTTGACTTTTACTGTCACGCGTAAATATCGAATCATTTGTGACGTCTTTACCGTAAAATTCAAGTCACTCACTTTCATCAGTCTTTATAGGCGATTTTGGCACTGCGTAACCTCAGAAACCCTTGTAACGACTTAAATGGAAGATGAGATATAACGATGGCTTATAACATCACTCTCCTAACTAAGTGACAAGGTTAAACTCTTTGGAGGTCGCTCTTGAAGGCCGCTAAACATTGCATACGGAACAAACACACTGAGCCACACATATTTTAGCTTATTCAAAGATTAGGCGCTGTTTAAAAAAATTACTATCAGAGATGCTAGAATTGATGATTTCAACTTGTTTTTATCGCCTATGGAGTTGGGAGTGAAAGACTAAGTGATAAGGATAACTTTGCTACTCGTATTTAAATCCGTTATGGGGAAAGCAGATGCAGTTTTCGTCGTCATCTTGTTTCTACGTCTAAGTTGAGAATGAACACTCATTTGCTAACTCAAAATTTTGCGAGATTCACCCTTATATCTCCTACATTTATAGAGGTGAGCTATTTATAGTAGCAAATTTCATGCTTAAACTAATCAACGTTTCCGCATTTAATATACTCGTACAATGTATACACTTATTTTTTTCTATTTCTTATTCAAACAAAGAGAGAATAGGAACTGAAGGAATTAAAGTTAAATGAAAAAAACTATAGCTGACTTTCGATCGTTCGCACGAATCAAATGGTCTTTATTTTGAAACCGTAAAAGCTATTTAACAACAATAAAAGGAACCATTCAAGTTCAAGTTATACCATGCAATACTCAATAAATCGATATAAATCAACAGAGTGTGTATCTGTCCACCAAACGCCCTGCGAGAGTTCAACCTGTTGAATGAAAGCATGGTAATTGAGAAGTGGTTGTACATTGTTTGTATTGGACAGAATCGATGTAGTCCTTACTAGGTCAATGCTTTTCTTTTTTCACGTAGTTTAACACTATCACCACTTTCTTACAAACGAGCGAGGAGAGATTAATTGAAAGACATTTAATTGATTCCAGAATCTAAAAAGCCTACAATTAGTATTAGCTATGGAAATATAGTTGTGAAAAGATAGTTTTGTTTTGCTGGGACATTCGCTTACCTCTGTAAAAAGACAGCTTTGCACTCGGAAGCTGCGCGATGGGCAGAGCGTGAAAATTAGTAGTTTTTAAGTACACTGATAAGCCGGATTGTTTTAGACGACATAAAAGTTGGATAGCAAGAATAGGGTAAGGCAGCTTCAATGAATAGGGACTGATCATCCTTTGCCTCTCTCTAGATCGGAAAGCTTGACGCTAGGCGTAAAACCTGTAAGTCGTTACCTAGATAATTAACTTTTAGTAGTATCAAGCAAGAACTATCAGTTTGTATTTTCCTAACTTCAATACCTTGCAAACCCCATCTCAGTCATTTTTGTGTTTTTTTGTCTTTTTCTTGCATTTATCGAGTCCATCTCTAGTTCTTTTCACGGTTTTTGGCAGTTACGTCACAGTGCACTAAGAAACAAGTAAGCGGATTGAATAATGGTTTCATGGAGTAGCTTAACTCCCCAATCTAAAATTTTACTCTGGGCAAGCTGACCCGTAACTAAGCTGCTACTCGCTCCTGCACACACACATGAATTGAAAGAGGTGAGAGAGTGAAACAGGTCTGTTGTTTTAACTCACTCTTTGAAAATGCTTCTAATACAGACTGTTGAAATTGTAGTCCTATCTTCAGGCACTACTTTCTCTAATATACAGGGTGGCGCATCGAAAACGAAACAGACGCAGTTACTGGCAGCTCAGTTTTATTTTTGAAAACCGCTCAGACCCATCGATTTTGTTTTCGAGGGGGACACAAGTTTGGCAAAAAATCACGTTAACACCCACCCCTATGCGGGGGTGACACCACCCCCAAAATCTTAAATGGAAAGGGGGGTCGAGAGATACATTATTTTAAAGGTCTTTCAGTTGCCTTTATAATGATATAAAATCAATGTACGTCAGTTCAGTAGTTTTGAAGATTTATTGATTTAAAGCTTAAATAAAACTAATACATACATCATCATTAATCGAGATCAATACATTTGGCAGCAAAGTAATTTGAAAATGAACAATGAACTGACCCGTTAGGCAAGTAAATGTTGAAAATGGCCACCACGACTCTCCATGCAATAATAAAGATTTTGGTCAAAACGTTGCCGCACATTCTGCAATATTTGAGGAGTAATTTGAAGGCACTCATTCACAATTTTTTGCCGCAGGTCTTCTAATGATGTTGGCTGAGTAGCATAGATTTTGCTTTTTAAATGACCCTACATAAAGAAATGCAAAGGTGATAAATCTGGCGATCTTGCGGGCCATTCAATGGCACCGGGTCTACGAATCCATCGATCTGGAAACGTCTGATCTAAATATTGTCGAACACGTAATGCGTAATGTGGTGGGGCACCATCCTGTTGGAACATCAACCGATTCGCAATGTACCGTCGATCATTCGGATTATCAATTATGGCTGTTAATGCAGGATCTATGGCGTCTTCCAGTAATTCCAAATACATTTCACCGGTCAAATTTCCAGGTAAGAAAAAAGGACCAACTAAATGACCGCCAAAAATACCAGCCCAAACATTTAATTTTTGTGGCTGCTGTGTATGAACCTCATGATAAACTCTGGGATTAGAATTGGACCAATATCGGCAGTTATGACGATTTACTACGCCATTTAAGAACAAGGAACATTTGTCGGAAAAACAAGTGTTGAATGGAAAATGTTCATCGTTTATAATTCGTTCACTCATATCTTCACAAAATTGTAATCGCCGAACAAAATCGTCTTCATTAAGTTCTTGTACCAGGTGAATTTTATACGGATGAAAACTATGGGACTTTAGAATCCGTTGGACAGTACATCGACTAACACCACACACAGTCTCCAATTTGCGGGTACTTAACGTAGGATCTACATAAACTTGCCCTAAAACCCCCACTTCTATTGCTTCGTTCCTTATGGGATTTTCAATGTTGCGTTTTTTATTGGCGACTGACCCAGTTTCCCGAAATTTAGCTACAAGTTCTAGAACATATTTTCGATGCACGTTACTGTTCTCATGTCGCTCATTAAATATTTCTGCTGTTTTATTAGTGCACTGATTATTTCAGAAAACTATTTCTATAATTTCAACTCTTTCTGCTGTGGAATGTACCATGGTTACTTTATGTAATAAAGCGTTACAAGTTATTTTAGCAACAAAGTTTGGTCAAATCAATCGCAAACTATGTAATAAATTCATATTTAAAATAAGTACGAGATATTTCCCTATCTTTCTTCAAAAAATAACTTTTTTGTCACAAAAAAACGCTCCAACAGCTATTTTCAGCAACAGCAACTTATTAAGTAAATTCTTTAGTCAAATTGCTTCTGAAAGTAGTACAAACTAATCTGATGTACCTATTAAAGTCTACTTTAAGCTTTAAATCAATAAATCTTCAAAACTACTGAACTGAAGCTCATGTATTGTACATCATTATAAAGGGAATTGAAAGACCTTTGAAATAAGGTATCACTTGACCCCCCTTACCATTTAAGATTTTAGAGTTGGTGTCACCCCCGCCCAGGGAGCTGCACGTGTTAACGTGATTTTTTGCGAAACTTGTGTCCCCCTCGAAAACAAAATCGACGGGTCTGAGCGTTTTTACAAAAAAAGACTGAGCTGCCAGTAAATGCGTCTGTTTCGTTTTCGATGCGCCACCCTGTATAAGATCAACATGAGTCACACGCTCATGTCAAGCAACGCGAGCACATAGAGGCATATGTATGTGCGGCTTGACTGTGTCCCACCAAAAACAGTGAAATGGCCTATACATGCACCTACTTTGTTTGGAGAGTTTAATTGACAATCAGACTTGATGTCTAATTGGGTATCTATTATTTTATTATTGATATCCTAACAGTAGCGAGGCCTCCTAGAACTAGATGATAAAATCGGCATTGCCGTCTTCTTATCTTTAATTGTTTTGATGAGATTGACTATGCAAACCACCTATGTATCAGACTTTAGACATAATAAAATAAAATGTGTTTAATTGAGTTTTCCTGATGTTCGTACGTAACCATTCAGTAGAAAACCAAGAAAACTATAAACAATCTGAAAGTGTTCCTTGATCAAATGTTAGTCTTATCCATGTCATGAGAAGCTAATCAAAAGTACAGTTAAGCTACTTAGGTAATATAATTAGTGAACGTATTAACAGATGACTAAAGTTTCACAGTATCTTACACCATACACCTGTTACCACTGCTGTTACGACCAATGTGATATCAACCATATCAAATGATAATTATTGTCACCGTTTCAGTTCTTAACAATTTTTTTGTGCTGGTACCAGTTGCCCTTCTATATTCATTCCATTTCAGCAGGTACCATTTTTGTTGAAGCAACCATGTCAAGGCAGTAGTCTTGCCGGGTATACGATATGTGAATAGGTTTCATTAAGTGATGAATTTGTGTAAGTTACAAGGTCGACAAGATGACAAAAATCGATACTTTTAATATACTCGTATGTCAAATGTGTTTAAGAGATGATGATTTGTTATTGTACTGTAGGAAAACAACATTTATCGCGTAGCAACTGGATGCAAATCTGAGGTTGATTGAGAGGAAGGGAAGCGAAGAGGAGCAAAGCAAAACTTTCTCTGGTAGCGACGCGAAGTGAAGCGACGTATCACGTTTGACGCGAGCGAATGAAAAATGCCGCCGCGGTTCCCTTTGCGTCGCGCGTTACCTCAGTGGACGAGCAACCTTGTATAGATTATTACTTTTTTGAGTACAAAAACGTGAACTCGTTAAATAAAAGGTTGCATAATGACTAGGTAGATGGATTTTTGGGTAAAACCCTTGACAAAAAACATTTTTTAGAAAGCCATATTCCAGGTGATACTTTCGTAGATACGTGTGAAATGGCGATGAAAAACTAAATTTCTTTTATACTTTTTACTCGATTTTTATCCAACGCTATATGACAGGA